CGAAGGTGATTATCAGTCGCTTGCTTCGTATCAAAAGTTCGTTAAGCTATCAGTTGAGCGCAGATGGGAACACGTAAAAGAAAAAATGAGTTTTGCGTGTCTTAAGTCGAATCATACCGTAAAAATATGTTTTTCTAAGAAATGCTGGGTTATCGGTTATCGGTAATTGTAAAAAATATCATAATCGTCTCCTACATTCGGGTTATACTGATTCTACTGAGACAAGCACAAGTGATAGAATAAGAGGGGAGGTTTCCTGACGGAAATGTGAGTAGGCACATGGGTAGAAATGAAAATGATGTTTTATTTCAAATTATACCCGTGAAGTAAATGAACCACGAAAGAGCGATTGTTGTTTACGCATTCATATATGATGGTGCTGACGTCCCTATGTTAGACTGGAATGTTGCGAAAAATCTTGGTTTAAGTGGAATGAGAGAACAATTGGAGTTGTGTTGGCTTAATGGGCACTCTGTAAAAGAATCCACCGAAGGGGTTGAACTAAGTATTAGCGGCATGGCGAAACATGCAAAACAATTAAATGTATTTGAACAATACTTATTTGCCAATTCAATTTTCACAGTGTAGGTTTCGATAATTATTTCGACGTTCGACCTAAAATGATAATTAGCCATATACGTGCATTTTTAGCAGTGCCAATTGACGTTATTCATGCTTAGGCTGGATTTAATCTGCAAAAAAATTGACCACGTTCAAAAAAAGTCAGTGAAGTTTTTGTAGAAACATAAAAGCCTTACAAAACATGTGGAACCAGTGGGATTGCTGATGAATTTAAATTTAATGTGAACATTAAGAAGGTCCCTGAAGAATTATTGCCCTTTCAGAATAAACCAACTAAAAGAGAGATGTTAAGCATCATAATGCCCGTTTCTGTTCCTTTATGTTTGTTAGGGAATCTAACAATTACCGCCAAAGTATTGATGCAGTCTTTATGGAAAAGAAAATTGGAATGGGAGATGATGAACTGCCAGATAAGCTTTGTGGTCGGTGGGGTCGTGGCTTGAAGAATTGAAAATGGTAAGAGACTTTAAAACTCCTATTGGGTTGCCCAAAAAGTAATTGCGGATTTTTTAAAAGAAAGTAAATGCATTTTTAATAAAACTTAGAATGAACTTTAATCAGATATATAATTGCCATTTTGTTCGATAACCTTTTGCCATCTTCCTGGCAAATTTAGTATTCCAAGCTCATAGAACTTCTGGCCTTTATCTGCAAAAAACTGAACCAAGTGCGATTTTATAGCCTCATCATTGCCGAAAGTTTTATCATTTAAGGAGTTCTGCAAAGATCGAAATAAATGGTAGTCTGATGATGCAATTTCAGGGCTATATGGTAGATGCATCAAAAGTTCCCAGCCTGATAGATGTTTTTCTGAAGATTTTTGTAGCCCGAAGAAGCAGCTGGACATATTTTGCGTTGCTATTGAATGGCCGGGGGTGTTAAGCCAAACACCAACAAATTATGTATCAATGCCACGGTTAGTACTTCATGCAGCGGTGTTCACGGTTCGGCTGCGCTCGCACATTCTAAAATGCTGCGAAGTCGTAGTTAAAAACTCGTTATGTGGACAGATTCAACTACAGTATTGAAATGGATAAACTCTGATACATATAAGTATAAGCAGTATGTTCCCAACCGGCTTAGCGAAATTTTGGAATCGCACGGTCCCAGTACAAATTCGTAGTAACCAATTTCGTGGGTATCGAAAAGGAACTACATAATAACGGGTATTGTTTTGATTACAATGCTATAACTTACGCCCCCGCCACCATTAGATGTTAAGTGGAACGCAGGAGGGCCAAAAGAGGGACTTGTTCAGTCTGTCAAACGAGAACTAAATTCGATGTTGAAGGAGCAGGAGTTGTTAGTCCAGCCGGAAAATATCATAAACTTAAGACTATTTACACACGCAGTGAACCCGAACCACTCACACCGAATCATTTTCTACTTGGTGGTACCAATTCGACGTAAACGCCCACCTCATATGATTATCGTTTGTGCTCACTGCAGTAGCCATTGCTTGAAAATACACTCCATCAAAGCCATTAAGCACCGGAAGAGTTATCCTAATATGCGAAGTAGATTTGCCCAGATGTGAATAGCGCAAGGGAAGAGCACCAAGTTTACGCATTGGCCCGGTTGGAGTCGCTATATCGGCGGGCGGAGGCGACTACGATCAGCGAGATACAATATTAAAGAGACCAGAATCTAAACTTGCTGTATTAGACGTCGGGAATGACTCTTCTCTTCTCGTAGTCGTGAGACAATTCACGGAGGAGGTGTATTTAAGTATTAAAATTTTATTCTTAAGCTCTAAAAAATGCAACCGTGTGCTTTCCAATATTTGTCATTTCCCTTCTCTTACTGTTCTTTGTACATAACTGAATTTTAATTCGCACATTTTTCTTTGAAATAAGCGGGAGGTCTTGGTCAAGTAAGTCTTACAAAAAATATTGCCAATTAAACTAAAACTTTTTGTTACATTTAAGAGAAGAAACGTACATCTTATTATAGTGATAAGAATATATGAGTTTTATTAAAAAAGGGCTTCTCTTAAGGAAAATATTCGAGTTTCAGTTACTGCCGTAACACCTGGACATAACACCTCCGTCTGCATACCTAGCCCTGGATATACCATCCACTATGTAATCTTTGTACGGGTTTGACCCTGAAGCTTTTTGAAACGTGCATACGTATCATATGTACACACAAACTATCTATAATTATAAATCTACAAAACGCAAATTTACTCGCAACTTTCGAGGCAATTAATGAGACGTAGATGAAGAAGCTTCAAGCCTGTCAGATCACTCTTTGGACCATTACTGGAAACTGCCCACTTAGTCCTACTAGTATAACATTCTTCACCTTTTGTCCGAACCGATGAGCTCGTCTCATGGGCAACCTGTGAGATGACCTCTATGACAACGGCATCTGCAACGTTTGCCCCATCTTATGAGAGGGCCAGTAACCTTACCACCACGGAAACAGCAACTCGATTTTTTCTCGGCAGTAAAGAAGTTACAATGTAAATAACAAGTAATAAAAAATTTCTTTCTTAAAGAAATGAAAGCATGAATCCTAATTAATTATTTATTACCATTTTTGTAGATCTCGCAAAGCTTATAACATATAAGATTGCGAAAACCGTTGACATAGCCCAACATATTTATGATTGGCAACAGTTGATATCTACATATATTATAAAAAAAAATTAATACTACAAAAAAAAAATGTATATATGTGAAATTAACGATTTTCCGTTGGCCGTTCGGAGGCAGCTGAGAAAAAATTGTAGTTCTTTCCATTTGTTGGAAAAGCATGAAGAAGCTCACCGCGAATTAGTGAGGGAGCACAGTCGCAAATCACTCCAGAAGTTATAAAGCGGTTTTGGAACCCGCTGCAAAGAAATAGGAACGTCTCGGATGAGTAACTCTACTGAAGACTGCATACGTATTAAAGACTACGAATAAGAGGTTACATCCATCCACCTTAATGGAGAAGAATCCGTTGTCCTCGATTAACTAAGGGCTGATATCATCGCCGTCTAACAAGTACGGTGGATCGGACAAGCAAGGAAAAAAGCAGATCCTTGTGGTAATTATTACAGCGGTCATTTAAAAGAGCGCCAATTTTAGTCGCCGAGTCCTGGACTTTATCCCTGCTGAAGAATCGAAACCCTTCATAGTAGGAAAAAGAAAACGATTCGATTCAACCATGAATGGTTGAGGAAGCCAACGTGGGGGGTTCAAACCTGCTGTGAAATTATTGGAAAACCTTTTTAAATTTGTACGTAATTCACTTTGGTTATATGTTTGCTGGTCTGTTTAAAATAACTAAGGCCTAACAGTAAGTATGCAAGCCTTGAAATTAAATAAAAAAGGTGCTAGTTCGAGTTTACTCAGAACATGGCTTCGCTGCCGTCGCGAATTTCTGGATCAGTTGCACAAAGTGCTAGCTAATAGGTTGTATATCAAGGTCTTTAAGTGAGTACTTTGTAATTTAGTTTTATTTAATTAAATTAAATTTAATTATATTATTTTAACAATCATGGATCATGGATTTTCCGAGCACCAGAAGTGACAGTTTAGTTTATTGACGTGGACTCGTCAGTCAAAACGATTTTTCGATGAAATTTTCATAGCGAATTTGAATAATTCTAAGGCGTTGTTGAAGTGTGTATCGCTCCATTTTTTATTAACGAAGTAGTTTTTACTTGTCAAATGGCAAAAAAATTACAGCTTTAAAATTGACATCCACTGGAAAAGCAGGCTATTCAAAATAAGACCTTTCATTTAATAACCCTTTATACAGAAGAATTGGTTTGGCAAAGTTTTATAAATTATGGAATATACCTTTATGCTGCTTCAATAAATATTGCAAAGCTACATATATCTTTGAACCCGAATGCCTTCCTTAATTTTAGTGGTGCTTCCGTGGTGGTATTCTAGTATCATTTTGCTGCGATGAAGATACTCGTAGATATCAGAATTCTTTCGAATAATTTTGAAATACAGGACAGTGGGGCTCATGGTATGCAAGAAGACACTTGTATGTGATCTTTACCTTTACAAACAGTGTGGGCGTTCCCTAATTCATTAATTGTTATTCGGTAGCTTTGTGCATGCATTTGGCTTTACTGAAAAATTCAATTTTAGTGTTTGGCAACTCTTGATTCTGCACGTTGAAAAAGCAAGCTATTTTGCTTTTACAAATTATTATACTTTTTAAAATTAAACTCGTACTACTAGAGCTCTTATGTGTGACTCGAACACAGAGAGAGTTTTTATTCTAATCTAAATTATTTTCGTTTGAGAGAATTATAGAATGACCGATGACTGAAAAAGCCCCCCGGCTAACATCTGTTCGTCTCTATCGAAAGTAGGAAAATTTATACACATTTGTATATACATACATATACATTTATTGCATATGAAAATCATAAGGTATGCTGTATACAAAAATTTGGTTGAACTCACGTGTACAAAAGCGAGGCTCATCGCTGCCGTCGCCGCAGTCGTTAACATTGTTGCAATACTTGCTTAGCGGTACACAGCGTGTATTCGAGCAGGTAAAATCGGACAGCGAACATTGTTGATGAGCGCCGTCGGTTGGCTTGGTCGTAGTTGTGCCAATAACTGCTGCCACTATAGGCGTCAGGGTATGATTTGCTGGTTTGGCAGTGGATGTGGTTGATGTGGAAGACATAGTGGCTGCCGCCGGAGCGATGCATAGGAAGCACAATGCAAATAGTGGAGCGAGCGTTAAGGCAGGGCGGACCAGTTTGGTGCCATTGTTAAGTAGAGTGCGAGCTGCATTACTGGTTTTTGCTGTTGTAGACGCTATTATCTTTGGTGGAATGAAAGCCCGAGTAAAGAATTCGTTAATCAAAGTCAGAAAGCAATCATGATGCTGCCAATTCCAGTTTCCGCCACTGAGTGTGCTTGACTTAATTTTTTCTTCCAACGCCGTCATCATCAGCGTTCTTGCTTTTAACATTTGATTTGTTTTCGGCTTTGTGTTTTTCATTCTTGTAGCCTTATACTGAATTGACTCCGTTGCGTGGGCTAATGGTACGTTAACTGCCTTGGCGGAGACAGTACGTTTAATGGTAGTAACGGTGTTGTTTTGCCAGGAAGCGTACAAGGAATTTTTAAAATGAGGTGGAGTACATTTCTCATACATGAGTTGATTGCAATCTTGTTGTTGCTCATTTGTGTTAAACTGATCCTTCGAAGGCGAGCTATGTTTATTATTGTTCATTTTATTGCTATCACTACCGAAACAGTGATGCTGATTTTTGGCAAAGTTCAGCATCCGTTTTAACGGTATTGTTTCTCTACCTTTTGTTGAACTTTGTTATTTGTTTTTGTTTCTGTTTTCGGGCGTAAGTGCTTTTTGCTTTCGAGTTTTCGCCGGCATTGAATCGGCATTAATACATCTACAAATACAAAAGGAAGTTAGTATGTGAGCAGTGGTTATTACATGGGCAAAATAGTGCAATTATGTTTGTGAATGCATTTACCATGTTGTTTATCAGTCAACGTTCAAAGTTTTCATATTTTAATTAATGAAGAAATGTTATATTCTTATTTTTATTACAGTAATATGTGCATAATCATTAAAGTCAAAGTGCAACGAAAACTTTAAAACGTTTCGTCATCTGACAGCAACACTAATTGCGCCCACACATGCGTGTACATATATATGTATGTATGTATGTATGTAAATATGCTGGCGCAGTAAAATACGTTCAATCAGAACAGGCTATCAACATGAAGTGTTTGCGTGAACCTAATATATGTGGGATTAAATGCAAATATGATTGATTCTTGTCCGTTTTCAAATAAATCATCAATCAGATCGTAGTGAGTCGCATGTCTTTTGCTTCTGGCACTATTCTATTCTAAAACTAACGGCCAAAAAATGCTTTCGAAATATTAGCCTAAAAGCTTCCAACAGTATTTTTGACATACCACTTTTTGCATATTTTACGATTAAGGCTCATTTTATATTATCTATTACCTCGTTTATGGCGGATGCGGTAGCCGCGTAAGCATTGTGTTCTGATATTCGGAAGGCTCGGGTTCATATCCCGCCGCCACAAACATCCAAAAGTTATGGAAAATTGATTTAAATAAAAAATTAAGTTAAATTTTAGAATCGCGGCCGCCCCTCGGCAGGAAATGTCAACCCCTCCGAGTGTAATTACAAAGCGTCAATTATATATTGTTACGATTTTGCTTAATCAACCTCGATTATTTCCTGAATCCTTCGGGTACGATCTCTGGATTGTTAAATAAAATCTCGCTAACTTAATTTGCAGTTTCTTTCGTTATAAATAATTTATCTAATGTCCTTTATTTACTCAGTAATTCACAATTCAATTACAATGCACTTGACTAGCTACAATCACTTGAATAAACTTTCACAATCTACTTTACTTAAATGTAATTTCCAACGCGTGTACTTTACGACTCAAATAGTTTGTTCCGCTATACTCTATGTTGTTACCAACGAGTTCACTTTGTCACTGACTTGAATTGGCAGTGGAGTGTCGCCCTTATATAGCAGGCGGCAATATTCATAGACGAAAGTGTAGAATAATCGAGTTGGTCGCTATCGAAGCTTCTCGTTTTATCGTTCTAGAATGTACTAGTTATCGGTTTCTCTCTTTCATCTGACATTCGCCTCGCATTTTCGCAACAATATATATATATATATGTATATAACTACTCGTATGGTATATAAAAAACCGTCGGACTTCCTGTATTTAAGCTTCATAAAATAATGTCAGAGGTTTTTATTGTTGTTACCCAAAGAACTGTCGAAATATTTCTCAAAATCGCATTCAAATTGTTATTTGGTTCTTACACTTAAGAAAATTAAAATTAAGCCTTTCACATAAGTAAAAAATAATAGTTACTGTAAATATATGCAGTTTGCGATCATGAGGTGCAACATTTGTCATTTCAGTGAGTTTTCTGTGCTTGAGTCGTTGACATATGGATGTTTCATTTGGCACTTATAAAATTTTAACTTGGAGAATTTTTTAATTATTTGGGATTTATCTTCTAAGCAGTTGCTAATATATTGATTACACGTATGGATGTATTATAGTATTAGTTTCAGGACGACAGAAGTAAGTACAGGATTTTCTAGGTAGGTAAATAAAAAGGAAATAGTTGACATTTTTTACTTTTTTTTCGAAACTTAGGCTCTTCGGTTTTCTCAACTATATATAAGAAGCGTCTGTGGCTTGGAACTGTGGTCATTGGACACCAAACGAATTGCGGAGTCGATGAGCTAGCCGAATAGGGATAATCGTAACGGCGGTCCGTTTTCAATTTCTGGAAATTTTTTTTACGTTTGCCAAGCATAGCTTGTATGTCTAGCAATCATTAATCTCCCGTAATCTCTTCGTAAAATTACCAAGTGGTGTGAGCATCTGGAAAGGTAAGAGGAATCTTGTTCACAGAACCAACATAAGTATCATCAACGATCAGGGTTCCGTGATCGAACAAGTTGTTTAACTAATTAACTGACTAATATCATTCGATTTAACGGTTAATATTGAATTCAAAAGTGTTTGAAAGATTAATCGACTTTTAGCGTAATTATGAAATTTTTATAATGAATTTGCACTACTTAAAAAAACCAAAAATTATGAAAACATCTCTAAAACTGTGGGACTAATGTTCATTCAAACGTAGATACAGCAAAGTCAGCCAAAGCTTCTTGCTAGCTTAGCTTATTATATATTATTGGCGCTGCTCCTCCTATTTGTGGTATGCATTTTAACCGCCTCCGAGGGGCCGATAGATTCATGTCGGAAAAACTCGGAGGACTTGACATTCCATGTCGATAGGGCGACCGAAAAATTTACTTCATTTTTTATTTCAATAGAATAGATTTAGATGTTGGTTAGACCTGGGCTCGAGCACTGATTTTCCGAATACGACGACTGCAAAGTTATGTGACATGGGTCCCGAAGCGAGTGTATCTGAAGTACTGTTACGAGAACGAGATATAAATCATATTCTTACAGCAGTGTGAAAACTAAGAGCAAGTGGTCGTTACCGAAAAATACAAATAAAAAATGAGACGGGAACATACATACAAACGTGGCATGCAATGGTGTTTTAATGGCTGTATACCTCATGAACTTCTTAATGGGTATAAACCTCGTGATATCTAGTGAAATCGAATTTACTGAGTTTACAAGCAAGCGGCGTAGCATTAAATGACGAACAGCTAACTAATCTTCGTGAAACAACAAATAAAAGAATAAATTAAAAACGAGCTGTTGTTAAAACTAATTTTAAAAACGAACCGCCAAGTACAGGTATGTCAAGAAAACTTGAACCGCGAAACAAAGGAAAAATTATAGTAAAAACTTAAACTTAATCACTACGGATATGTAGTCGAATATTGTAGGAAACTACTTTAACATTTGCAACTTTCTATTTTAAATTCTTCAGTTTTTATGTTACTGAATGTTATGTTTCAAATATTTTCATTTTCTGAATTATTATAATTTTAACTTTCGTTCAGCCGAATGTCAAGTTGCTCCGATTATTAAAGGTAATTCGAAAATTGTTACGGTACCTCGTTTCAGATGCGAATATTTTGCATTTCGATATGCAATCATTTATTTTTAAACAGTAATTAGTCTGCACATATCAAATTTCGAGTATTGTCAGTGAAGATAGATAATCAATGCTGATTTCTAACATTGCATGAATTTATTGGAATCAAGAATTATTGCAAGAAGAAAAAACTAAAGGTAAAAAAAAAGTTACAGTACGCCAAAAAGGTCAAATTAAGGACGTTGCAACGAAAAAGAGGTTACCACTTGACGCTATCAATTATATTTCCAATAAAAAACGTCGTTTAAAAAATTTTAAGCACAACAATAAACGTTGTTTAAAAAAGTAAGCAAAAGCTCTTGCATTGACTTTTGACAAAACATCTTAACTCGAAAAAAGATCATCGCGGTATTTTTGCGTTTTCTGGCTCGAATCGGCATATTTCCGTTTTTTTTTAAGACAGAAGACCTTAAAGAGATATGTAAGTTGGCCAATTTTCAAATAATTTAAAAATTCTAGGCAACATCGATTTGGCAAAAAAAAAATATTTCATTGTGTACTATGATTTTTTTTCACTCATTCGTACGACAAAACAAATTATTTGGAATTATGCTCCATTTTCAAACTAAAAATTAAAAAAACTTAAATATTGTTACTTTTGCAATCAGCTTACTTTGAGAGTGCAATTAGACATAACACTTTGTGCTGAGATTTATTACTTCTAAAAATTACTCTTAAAACGTGGGTCATGAAAAAATGTTCGTACTGTGAAAATGACCAGTATCAAGAAGTGATAACGCGAAGTAATAACTTTAGAGGCTGGCTAACTGCTTCCAGCCATTTGAGTTTTTGTTTTGTATGTACATATGTATTTTGCATTCATAGTGACTATATGCAAGAATGCAATTCTTAGGTGACCAGCGAAGTTATTTGCCTGCTTACAGATGCAGATTTACGAGTTCATCTGTTTTGCGTCTTCCCAACCCTACTCTTCAAATAGTTGCGATTGACGGCTGCCCAGCCTCCCTCAGGTGCTTTACGGGCATCGGTATAAGACCTGAAAAATATCGGATATCAAACATGTATTGCATATATGTATATGCTCAGAGTTCAAGTAAAAGCGTTGATCCTTGGTGTTGTTTATTGAAAAATATCGGAAAAAGAAGTGACTTGAAAACTGAAGATTTTTTCAATTTTTGTTGTCAGGACTAGATTATGTAAACTTTAGTTTATTACATGGATTTGAAATTCGAACTTCAATTTTCGAGGATCTATAAGCCAATACGGACTACTTTTTTATTGTTTGCAATATATATATATATATTAAAAAAAAAACGAAGGAAAAAAATTAAATTCAATTTATGCACATATGTATCTTAACTAGCTGTATCCTGTAACGCTTCGATGTGGCACATGATTGGATATATTGGGTTGCCCCAAAAGAAACCGGCAATTTTTCATACAGACGGCGTTGACTATTTAGCAGTATATTTTCTTTTGACACTTATAAGCTGTCACTTTTAGCTTTCTTCAAAGAAAAGTAAGCGTAATTTTGTTTATTTTTGGTTGTTCGGCGTGAATTTTAATATGAAGCTCACAACATAACATTTTCGCCATATTTACGTTCAGGTCGGGTTTAATCGAATCGGATCGTCATGAAACTGAGCGTGAGATTGGAGAGAAGTTAAGTATACCAAAATCAACAGTTCATAATCATAAGTCGTCTTGGATTGGTAAAAAGACTTCTACGCGTGTGATATGCATTTTAAACGCAATGAATATGATCCATTTTCGAAAACTAGAGATGAAAAATGGGTTGTTTGCAATAACGTCAATCGAAAAGGATCATGGTCCAAGCATGATGAAGCGCGACAAACCACATCCAAGGCTGATATTTATCAAAAGAAGATGTTGGTGTGCTGCTTACAAGAAACCAAACGTTTAATTCGGATGTTTACTGTGAATTAAATACATTCATCAACGAAGCGGTCAGAATTAGTCAATCGTAAAGACATTGCTAGACTGCTCACATTCTGGTCACCCGCCAAAAACTGAGAGAGTTAGGCTGGGAACTGTTGATACATCCACCATATAGCCATGATGTTGGCAGAAAGATGGCGAACTGCCATCCAACAGAATGGAAACACAATTGATTAAAGTTCATTATAAAATTTAAAAAAATTTATTTACTTTCTTATAACAAATCGCAAGTTTCTTTTGGGCCAATATTTTCATTATAATTTATTTACTCAATAAACAATATTTTTGGTTTTACCATCGGCAAAAGATATCTGGTTTACCACCCTTGAGCATGCAACATAATATTTTCCATGTTCGAAGGATTCCGTATCTAAATGTAGAGCATATATTTCCCTGAGCTTTGTTGATAAGCACGCTAGTCGAATAGAGAGCTGTAGTTGCTTGAATAGGAAGAGAGTATCGGACTAAATAACAGGGATGTTTTAACCTCTGAAAGGTCTATACAGAATTTCTGCTCCGGTGTTTTATGAATGGAATATATTTTTACTGCAAGTCGTGTGAGGTTACAAAGTTTAGGCTGATTAATATTACGTAGCAGCTCTGGCAAGTCCAAAAAATTAAAAAAAAATCCGTTGGATAATCTGCTTCCATCTATTGATTCATATGCGAAGCGTCCGCTGTTCAATGTTGGACTGAATAGTGTGGTAGATATCGCATTCATCTCACTTTGTTGTAACAAGGACATATTACCACTCAGCCACCCATGATCCCGAAAATTGGCTTAAAAATTCATCGGCCGATGTATTACCTTCCAGTTTTACACGCACATTGGTGTTAATTGTAGGAATTCTACATGTCGCAAGCATTATTTTAGTCGTTGGTATTGCTTTGTAAAGATCCCACTCGGTCGGTAACTTTTCGAGATAAGCAGATTTTTACAAACGGAAGTACGAATTTATACTTAATGCGGGGTCAATAGTGGAGTGGTTAGCTGTACTTACTGTTATTCGGAATGACGGGATAGAAAATTAATTTCTCTAATTGCGCTCGTCCCTCAGCAAGGAATATCAAGCCCGCAGCCCTCATTTCTGACATGAAATAGAAAAAGCTTCTCGTAAAAATGTATCGGGCGTTCGGAGGCGGCTTAGAAAAGGCTCTCCATTTGTTGGAGAAACATTAAGACGTATACCACAACTTGGAGAAGGAGCTCGACCAAAAATCGCTTCAGCAGTTACATAGCACTAATTATCCATTTAATATATTGAAGACCACTTGATATATATTTAGTCAACGTATTTCGTCATTAATGTTCTTAAATTTGAATATAAATTCAAACAAATATTGTCGCTGAAAGTCATCGGAATGAGAAGACGTTATTGTATAGCTCCCTTAACACCAGTTTTTTTAGATATGAGAAAAATTAATTAATGGTTTTATATTCCTGCATTTATTTTAGATAAGTGATTTGTTTAGTGGAAAATACCCTATGTGAAGAAAAACAAAACAAATAAGGTAGGCTCTTTTTTCGCTGGCAGTGGTTCCGAGTTCTTGACGCTAAGTTAACTGCAAATACACTCTATACAAGGTTTCTCTGTTTATGTGCCTCCTCCATTATACTTTCATAACACCACAAACTCTCATTGTGTTCCGTTTGCATAATCCGATTTTCTTGTCATCATTCTTGTCAACTTAATATAATAGTATAGTAATGTGTTTTATGAATGGAAGATTTTATTAACCCTTTTGTTCACAATTAAGTTGCCAACGGTGTTTTCTTCAATACTTATTTTCTGTAATTAGGTTAGCAAAATTTGTTTGTCACTGTTAAATTAATTTTTTTATTAAAATCTGAAAATTTTGCCAGTACCAGTTATCCAGTCGAAATTGTAATTCTTCAACTTAATTAATTGTATTAAAAAAGGCTTGCACACCAACAGTTGCTATGCATCAATCAACCCCAAAAAAATTGTTATAATATACAAATTTTATTTTTGTAGTGCAATATTATCCATTAGCGTAACTGTAGTAACAGATTCATCCGATTCTGTATTACCAAATGGCATCTTTGAA